TATATATTTCTAAAAAGATCTATCAACTCAAATATCCCAAGGCTGGCTTTGAAATCCCATCTATTCCTTTGATCTGTAGTATCAGCTACAACTTTTCTGAGACAACAAATCACATGTCACTACCATGTGGCCCCTGACAGGGGTCATTTCCAGAAACACTTTGGCCTCCCCAAGGCCATTACCATATGTGCCAAAAGCTAGAGTAGTCTGTGGTGCACACTTGAGCTTGTCAGAGTTACAAGGGGTGAGATTTGCTCCCTAGTAGCTCCCAATGGCTCACCCTGGCTCCAGTTCCTGCAGCCCAGGTTGGAGTCCTGGGTCCAGTTCTGAGGTGACCCTTTCCTGTACTCCCAGGCTGGCTCCTCCAGCTCTTTTCAGGAACACTGACCCTAATCAGCCCTTCACTTTCTTCCACTCTAAATGCTCAAAGTGTGGTCCCAAACCAGTGCCATCAACACCACTCTGATGCTTGTAGGATGCACAATCAGACCTACTGAAGAGAAATCTGATTCTAACAACATTCCCTGGCCATGCCTAGGCATGATACAGTGTGAGGAGCCACGAGCTAACTACCCAAAGTGCATCTTGGTCCTACCTGTTCAATACAACAGAGCACAGACACACTTTAGCATCTCTGACAATTAAATGACACCTTCGACTTCCGGTGCAGACACGCATGTGCCCTTTCCTTTAAATTCCTCCAGATATTTCTCGAGTCAGGAAAAGCTCAGGTAATCCTCTTTGAGTCCAACATAAAGGACCCTGAATAAAGTCTTCTTTCAGGTCCCAGCTCATAATCTGCCAGTGGAAACACTTTTCTCTCCCTAACCCTGAAAACGGGTCCCTGCTTCTGTGCTTACAACCTACTCGAAGGGCTAACCTGCATCTCGAGCTGCCCAGGGGAAATGCCAAGGACTTACTGCTGAAAGGGAATAAAATGCTGCTTCTCTTCATCGTCCACCTTCCCGTGGATGATATCAGTAATATCCATCACTAGGAGAGAAAGAAACTTCATTAGAGAAACTAAATGTTTCCTGCCTTGTTGAGTTGCTATGGAAAATGATGGTATCAGCAAACAGAACACTGAGGATGAAAGGGACCAAGCAGGGATGTCTCTTTATCTCTTTGGCAACAATAATTTCCCAGTGAACCACACCCAGCAGGACAGCAAGTCAGGAAGGACTCAGATTTTCTATGTCCAACTCTGCAGAGCACACTTTAAAAATTCTTTAAGATTGAGTTGCTGTATTATTTTCTAATTTAATTAATTTATTTTTTCTAATTTAACTAATTTATTATTTTTTTCTGTGCATGAGTACTTTTCATGAATTGTATCTAAGGGCACCATGTGCATACAATGCTAGCGGAGGGCAGAAGAGGGTGTCATATTCCCCTGGTACTGGAGTTACAGATGGTTGTTAGCTGCCATGTGGGTACTGGGAACCAAACCCAGGACCTCTACAAGAGCAGCCGATGCTCTTAACTACTGAGCCATCTCTCCAGCCCCATGAGTTGCCACAGAAATTTAATACTGATTACTTTTTAATAAGACTCCACTCAAAGCCATAGAGAATACATATTTCTACCAGTTCTGTCAGAAGAATTATAGACCAGGTCTGTCACGGCCATTCATCTCTGATTTGACATAGTCTCACATAGTTTCTACATAAGCCTGCACAGAGTATCATGAAACAGACCCAATGGTGACTGGCTCCCCACTACCCCAGGACAGTACCTAGAAAAGCACCGTTCTCACCCTGTTGCATCATTACCTCATTTACACAGGCAGGAGGAGTTCCACCTTAAGGAATCGGAAGGGTTAACTTGCCTTTAGCCACACGTTTTGTCTTTATTCTTAGTTCTGACCCTTTGTTCTGTTGGCTTTGTTTTGCAGTGGTGGGATTGAACACAGGGCCTTGCACATGCTTAGGCAAGCAAGGTACTACTGAGTCACATCCCCTTAATCAGTTTTAAATTTTAGTAAAGCCACGATATGAATCCAGCAGTGACCACAAAGCCAAATCACACAACCACTATGGCCAGCTTCCCAGAGGATTAAGAAGCAAGATGTAGAGTGGCTAACGTGAGGCAGGGCCCTGGCTGGAGGGAAAGCGTTGGTTAATAAATTACAGTCTGGCCACAAAGCACACATTAGCAATCTACTTCCCCACTTCCCAGATAACGTGTTTGGAGACCAAGTGAAGTACTGTGAAACCCAGTGCTCCAAAGAACTCAAGACAACTCAGCCCACCAGGCTGGGAGAACGCGGAAGTGAGCGAGGAAGGGGCACGCGACCGGACATCATGTGCAGCGTGTTTTCAGCCCTAACGGGAACTCATAAAAACACTGAGAAATTTTAGTGCACCTCCAGCAAGACGCAGCTCCTCTGTCTGTGCCACCATTACAGGACATCTAACTGCTGACTGAGATCAAGGCTCAAAGTGAATCAACCCCCTCTGAGTTTGCATTCCTAGCACATTCAATACTCAGTCCTCCGCCCCACGACACAAGCACACACGCACACACGCACACATAGACAAAAGTTTTAAACTTAATACTTAAGTGTCTTTGGCCCATTTTGAATGGCAATAATCTCAAATACGCCTGCTTTCTCCCCTTCCCTTCCCTCTTCTTCCTTTCCCTCCCGTCCCCTCCCCTTACAGTCCTCTTCTCCTTTCTTCCCCCTCAGCCCTACCTACCTACCCACTTACCTACATACCTACAAACCTACATACCTACGAACCTACGTTCCTATCTACCTACCTATCTATCATCTGTCTGTCTATCTATCTAATCCATCCATCCATCTATCATCTTTTTTGAGACAGGGTCTCCTTGTAGCCCCAGCTGTCCTGGAACCCACTATGTAGACCAGGCTGGCCTTAAACTCACAGAGATCCACCTGCCTCTGCCTCCCAAGTGCTGGGATTAAAGTCGTGTGCCACCACTCCTGGCCCATCCTTCTTTTATGGAAGAATAAACACATGGCCATGTGGATGGCTCAACAGTCTTGGGCTCCTTGCATCTTCTGAGATTCCATGTTAATTCTCTATAAGGTAGCAAAGCTGAGTTTGGTGTGATGGCACATGTCTATAGCCCCAATACTTGAGAGGCTGAGGGAGGGGGAAATCTCTGCAAGTTCCAGGCTACCCTGGGCTACATAGTCAGCCCCATAGTCATGTCTCAAAAAAGCCCAACCAACCAACAAACAAGAAACAAAGCTGTTTCCCCAGGTTAGTCTTTGAGCAGCAGGTGGGGTGGAAACAGTTCAAGGGACCTGACAGTGTACAGTCTTGTGGGTCACAGAGGCCAACTCCTAACCCACAGAAGCCACAGCCTGACCTGAAGAACTCCAGTTCCAGGAGCAAATTTTCCACATTTCATTGATAACTTTCAACGTATTAGTGCAAGTGTCAATAAAAGAGCAAACATCTCATCTCTAAATTTAGAAAACTACAAGGAAAGAGCCTCTTAGAATGTCTGGAGGACTGATTTAAGCTAAGGATGTTCTTCACAGTATTTAGTAAGACAAAGTTACCTCTGAGAAGTAAATGAACAAGCGAAACACTTTGCAGTGGAGCTGAGCAACAGAGGACATGCCTAGCAAGCATGAGGCTCTGGGTTCAAAGCCCAGCACTGTAGGAAACATCAATATACAAACACAGGCAGGGAGGATGCCGAAAGACAGAATGGAGGGTCAAGTGTGTATGAGACATGGCACTGGGGAGATGGGGGAGATGGGGTCAGCGGCTACATGAGCTCACTGGACCCAAGGGAAGAGAACTGGCTGTAAATGTTGTGTGCCCAACACCAATCACAACATGACCCATCGCTTCCCGTCTCTGGGGGAGGCCAGCCAGCCTGTCTGCCTTCTTTCCTCTGTCTTTTCATTTTTATAATTGCAGTAGGATATATATCATTAAAATGACCATCTTAGTCACTTTTGAGTGCACAGCTCAGTGGAAGTAAGCTCATTCACCCTGTACAGCCAACACCACTGTCCTCCACCAGAACGTTTTCATTTTCTAAAGCTAAATCTCTCTCCGTGAAGCAAGTCCCCACGGTTTCAGGCCCTGGCATTCCTCTTCTACTCTCTGTCTCTCTGACTGACTCCCTTGTATAAGTGGACTCATATAGTATTTGGCTTTTTTTGCTTATTCTACTTAGCATAATGTTCTCACGACTCATTCATACTCCGTTCTATGGACACACCCCATTTATTTCTTCTTTCATCTACTGATGGACACATGAGTGACTTCTCCCTGGCTCCTGTGAATAATGCCGCTGTGAGCCTGAGTGCAGACAAGTCTCTTAGAAACCTTGCTTTCAATTCTCTCTGGGATCCACCCAGAGAGCAAAGGGGGATCATAGGGTGGCTCTACAGTAAGGATCTTTTAGGACCCACAAAGACTTGTCCCCGGCTGCCCCAGCCTTTCACCATGGTCTCGAGGCTTCAGTCATACCTGCCACACCAAAAGGCCTGCGGAGCCCACAGGTGTGCTTTTTGCCCTCCTTCAGCTCCATGCGGCCCACCCGGACGATCTGGCACACGAGACTGATGCGAGGCCGGATGAGGTCTGTGCTGCTGAGGTCCTGCAGACAGAGGTGCATGGAAGCGGTCAGCTCTGTCACCTGTACCTTCCCTTTCCTTTGTAATCCTGCTCAGAGCATGTCACACCATGCTGAAACACTGGCGCCTTCCCACGCCTAAGAACTACTGTGACAAAAAAATCACACACACACATACACACACACACACACACACACCCCTCATTCCTTCCCCTGCCAGGGCCTACTTTACATTTCTAGAATAGATCAGATGTAGCTAGAGAGACAGCTCAGTGGGTAAGAGTACTGGTTGCTTTTGCAAAGGACCCGGGTTCAATTCCTAGCACCTACATGGCAGCTAACAACCATCTGTAACTCTAGTTCCAGGGGATCCAACACTGTCTTCTGACCTCTATGGGCATTAAATGACATGGGTACACCTGCCCACATGCAGGCAATATACTCGTACGTAAAAAAATATTTAGTGAATTATTTTTTTAAAAGAATGGATCAGAGTGAGTCTAACAGCTCTCATGCAGCGAGGTGAGCAAGTGTTTAACAGCCAGGACATTCTCTGCTACTGTGGCTCCTTCCAGGGCACTTCTTAGCACAGGACACAGCTCAGTGTCAATGACATGAAAACCTGCATGATACTGACATTTATTGGATTTATTGGGTATCCCCAGAAGTCGTGACATTTCATTGCATTCCTTTTTTTGGAGACAGTTTCATGTAGCCAAGGCTGGACTTGAATTTACTGTATTACTGAGAATAACCTTGAACTCCCAATCCTTCTGCCTCTGCCTCCAAGTGCTGGGATTATAGGCATGTGCCATCACACCTGGCTTCATTGCATCTTCTAACAATCCTAGGAGGCAGGTGTAACCCAGATATAGCTTTATGAGAAGGTCGCTCTATGCATGAGAGGTGTGTGGATGAAATGATTCCTGTTTGTGGCTAAGGCTCTTGTGTGTTTTCTTAAGGAGGGGTGAGTGAGTCTGGGAATAGCTCACTTATCTCATGCACTTAATGTCAGAAATAACTCATTATATCTCAAAATCCTTTTATGAAATGACAGCCCCAGTCCTCTTACTGAATCAAGAATGACTTTTCAAATAATCACTCCCAATCTATGCCTTATAATTTAGTAAACAAAGGCCACTGAGACAGGAATATACACCAATAATAACATTCATCTTGCATTTCTATGCTAGGTTCTGCAAGGCTTCCATTAAAGAAAAATAAAGACCCTAGGTGACCAGTTGTATAGACTGTTGCATACTGATATTAAGTAATACACATTTATAAATGAAGTTTCTGAAGAATATTTAATGAGCAAGGAAATGGTCAGGACACTTTATTTAGTTGAAAAGGCTAGACATAAAATTTCCATACTAGATGACCATCTGGCTATATGGAAGAGTGTGAGGGCATAGAGGGAAAGGAATCATAACTGTACTACACTATACTGATCAGAAGATGGACCAAAGATCAAGTGCCTTTAAAAATATACATAGGGTCTAATAAATAAATACCTTCTCGATTTCAGGAAAGAGCCTGCTTAGAAAACTAAACAAATTCTAAAAAGTCTCGGGACTATCACCAGGATGTTCTGTGGCTCCATTTCCTGGGAGGCAAAGACACAGCTGGCTCAGTGCAGGGGCAGTAGCCAGCCCATGCATGTCCCAGAGGTCAACAGAAGCAATAAAGACAAGTCATGTAGGGACCACAACTGCCTATGTTGCTTCCTCTGGTGCTGTAACCTGGACTCAGTTTTCCCCTCACTTCACCTTCTTACAAAGTGGCTCCTATTTATGTATTTTGGATTGCTAGGGATTGAACCCAGGGCCTAGTGTATGCTAAGCATGTTCCTGCTCCCAATGTGCCATACTCCCAGCCCCAAACCAACCTATTTAATACATAAGGGACTGGGGGGATGGCTCAGTGGGTAGATGTTTGTCATGCAAGCATAAGGAACCAAGTTCAAATTCTCAGAACTCATGGAAGGCTGGGTGTGGTAGCAGACATCTGTAATTCCAGTGCTCCTAGGCAAGATGGGGGGCAGGGGGTGGAGAAACTAGCCTGGTATACTCAGTGGCAAAGCACAAAGAGACCCTATCTTAAAACACTGTGGAAAAATGTCATGGGGTTCCACCTCAAGATGAAGAGCTCCAGGTAATCAGTGAGTGCTGAGGAAGAGAGAATCGTTTTCTCCAAGGATTAGCTCCCTGAGAGGTTATCCAACCCCAAACGGAAAGCCCTGAACACAGGTACACAAGAGCACCATTAAATGGACTCAATGCATTATATTATATACATACTCATATTCACAAATGTATGTATGTACACACACACACACACACACACAGAGGAGGACAAGGAACTGAGAGGGAGTTGGGGGGCATGGAAGGAGTTGGTGGGGGACTGGGATGGACGGAAATAATGCAAAGACAATATTCATGTATGAGATTCTCAAAAATAAAAAATTAAAAAAAGAAAACAATGTGGAAAGCAAGGACCAACACCTGAGGTTGTCCTGTGACCTCCACACACGAGCCATGGCACTGGTGTTACCATGCACACACACACATACACATCACACACATTCATACATACTAAAAATTAAATACATACATACATACATAAAGCACAAGGCTCCCCCAGCAAGTACTTCGGCGAATGCCCTGGAAGCACTTGGGGACTTCTAACACTGGATAGAATTTACCCATCTAGGTAATCACTGTCCGTTATCTGTCTTCTTACCAGCCTACAAGCTGCTGAAGAACAGAGATTTTTTTCCCGTTTTGTTCACAGATATGCCTCAAGTATATAAATCAGTGTGTGTTACCTGCTATGCGTTCAAGAAATACTAATTGAATAAATGAGTGGATTCTGGTAGGAGGGCCGTGATAATTTTCCTTACGTCTCTTATGTGTTCCACACACCTAGCATGTGTATCCACTGACATAACAAATGACAAAATAGAAAATGGAAGTCGGGACTCACGGTGAATACTGCTTGGAGGTTATTCAGCTTCTCTATCTCCTTGGGCATCCCATTACTGCCCCAGCGAATTAGGTAGTTCTCACTGGTGAAGGAAAAGAAATTATTCATAATGAGAGGCCAACTGACACAGGGGTTGCCCACAGCACAGGGTCTAAGGAAGGGGCATAAATGCCTGTAGCTTAGGTGGGCTCTTGGGAAACACACAAACCATGCGTATGGCTCTTCTGTCTTTGGAGGTCCCACAAAAAACACCCCACACAAACCTTGAGACAGTCACAGCTCAGGCTGGCCTAGACACGGGTTTAATGGATTATACTGTCTCGGGTCTTCTTACAAATTTCTCATATGAACGTATCAGCTTTTCTGAGTCAAGAGTTTGAGACTTGGACACAGTGGCTCAGGTCTGTAATCTCAGCCCTTGGTTGACTGAGACAGGATGATCACCAAGAGTTTGAAGTCAGATAATAAATTACCAGTCAGGGATACTCAGTGAAACTTTGTCTCAAAAAAAATTGAAAAATTAGTTTTGTATGTCATTCCAAACGTATCCTTTATAATATACATCATCATACTTGGATTTTTTCTTTTTGGGAAATGATTTATTAGTAACAATTTTTTTTTTTGAGACAGGGTTTTATGTAGCTCAGACTGGCCTCGAACTCACTATGTAGTTGAGGATGACGTTGAATTTCTTTTCTTTAATTTTTAAAATTTATTTTTACTTTACATGTGTGAGGTTTTTGCATGCATGTATGTAAATGCACCCAAGTGTGCAATACCTGCAGAGACCAGAAGAGGGCATCAGATTCCCTGGAACTGGAGTTACAGATGGTTATTAGTCTGTATGCAGATGCTGGGAACCTAACTCAGGTCCCCTGCAAGAGCAGCCAGGGCTCTCAACCATTGGACTATCTCGCCAGCCTGACCTTGAACTTCTAATCTTCCTGCCTCTATGCTTGAATGATGGGATTATAATCATGTGCCACCATGTGATTTCATTGGGGCTGGAACTCAGGCCTTCGTGCATGCTAAGCAAACACTCCACCAACTAAGCCACAACCCTTTTCCTAGTAATTGCTTTTTACCACCTTCTTGAAGACAGACCTACATTTCCTCAGCTGCTCAGCATGGTCCTTCTGGGGCTGAACAACACTTGATCATTCCCTATAATCTTTAAACTTTATTTTTTGTAGACCATTTTTTCGAGAAGTTTTAGGTTCATGGCAAAGCTGAGCTAAAAGCCAAGTCATCACCACTACCACCACCACCCTCCACGGCCTCCCAATGTCCACGTCCCTCACCAGTGAGCTGCATTTGCTATGACTGATGATCCTGCCTAGGCACATCATCATCCTCACAGCCCACAGCTAACATGAGAGTTCACAATTGGTGTTATGCATTCCATGGGTTTGGACAAACGTATAATAACAGGCATTCACCATTACAGTAACCTGCAGCTCAGTCTCAGGGCCATGAACCCCTCTGTGTTCATTTCTCTCTTGCCTCCCTTATCTAAACTCTCCTTGTCTCTTAAGTGGTTTTATTCACTCCTTAACTCCTAGGGTGCACACAAACTGTAGCTGGATTGTGCCAGCAGCCATGCACAAAGGCTTTAGAGCCCAAAGGGCTTTACTTCCTATAGCCCAGAATTGAACAGATTCTGCCTTCTCTGCCTCCCCATCTCAGACCCAGTGAAGGGGCAGGTGAAGGCTGCATATGCTGTACTGTCAAGCACAGGAGATCTAGGGCTCCACTACCTGATGAAGGTGGACTGGTCTGGGTCATAGAGGGCCATGAACAGCTCTGCGTCCTCCCCGATGTTGCAGACGAAGTTCTTGAAGTTCACATAGAGGCCATAGGTGTGGATAGTACTGAAGATAGTCTGACCTCGCAGGTCCAGGTTCTGCAGAATGCACTAGGGACAGAAGACAGGGCAGACTGCACTAGATTTGAGCAAACAGGAAGTGCTGGCAAATAAATCAACTTCTGAATAAGAGATAGTTATTACCACCTAGGAGAAGAACTTTCTGAGAATGGATCCACCAGGTGAATGAACACATAACCATTGTTGGATAAACAAGGTGATCCTGCTCAGGGCCTTGAACCCAAGTAATTCAATAAATGCTATTTAGAGAGCTGGGGAGATGGCTTGGCAGGAAAAGTGTTTGCCGTGAAGCAAGAGGACCAGAGTTCATGTCCCTAATACCCATGTAAATGCCAGGTGGATGGGACAGCCCACCTGTAATCCTAGCACTTGGGAGGCCAAGTCACGGGATCCCCTAAGTAAGTTAGCTAGCTAGACTATCTGAACTGGCAAGCTCTGGGTTCAAGTGAGAGACCCTGCCTCAATATACAAGGTAGAGAGAGATTGAGGAAAACCCCTAACATCAACCTCTGGCCTCCACTGCAGGTTCAAGCACGCATACACACATGTATGCACATACGTACATAGGTAAAGACTTCTGTCTCCAGGTAGTAAATCATGGTTTTAGCAAATTAGTAAGGCTCTCACTTCTACAATGGGATGCTCAAGGAAGCACAACAGCACAGAAACCTGACCTATTACCCAACTTTATCGGAACACACCTCTGATTGGAAAACAAAAGTTTCCACAAGAATGCTTTACCCTGGGGTGTGGCTGTCACTGGATTCAAACTCACAGTTACGTATTATCATGACTGCGCTAAAGAAATGAAAAGTTATACACATTGGCACAAACCATTTACCCATTAGAACAGAAACTGTACCAAAATACCAATGTGGTTGGGTCTGGGCAGTCAGAAAATGGTTGGCATTTTTTCTGTTTTTCTTTACCTCTATAATTTTTCTCTAACAGGCAGATTACTTTCAAAATCTTCTAAATATATTATTTTAAAATCTTATTTTATTTTGGATATCATAATCTTTGTACCAAATACGAAAGATTATAAAACAAAAAGTCTTTCTTTGACCCCTTTCGCCTACTAGAAGCATCTTTCCATGGCTAGCATCTCATCTGTCAATTCAGCTAATCTGCATATATGGAAGCACTGAGGCATACCTATCCACATATATAAAACATACATATGGAACACACATGATATTTTATACACACAATTCTGCATCTTCCTTCACACACACACACACACGCACACACATCCAAACACATCTTTGTACCTTTCCAAAACAGAACATATATAGTGATCTCATTCTTTTGGCTCACTTTTATTATTTTTTTTATTTTAATTTTTAATTGAATTTTTGTGTGTTTCATATAGAACATCTCAAACAATCTTAATCAGCTTTATACCCCCATACCCACTGGCACCCTCCTATAGCCCCCCCCACTGGAGTCCATATACTCTGTCATCCCTGTTAAGGCTCATTGGGTTGTCAGTGTCCCCAGCCATTCCCCGGTGCAAGTCCATCCACTGAGTCTAGTCAGCCTATCTAGAGTCCCTTGTTTTAGGAAGATCAGCTCTTCTTCATCTAACAGCAATCAGTTGCCAACATTCCTTCAGATAAGCTTGGGGTCTTCTGTTCATTTTCCCAGTTCTATGCTGGGTTACTGTCTGCCTGAGTTTGCATGGGACTTGTGTATGCTGACACCGTTGCCTGGGCTCACTTGTACAATCAGAACACAAATAGTTTTCTAGGCATCTCTCTCTTGTCTTTCATTCCTCTTTCCTCATTGAAAGCTGAAGCAACAATGGCACCCTAGCAGCCCAGATCTGCACCTGGAGGGAACGTACCTTTTCTTCTTGGATCTTCTCCTCGATCCTCTTGGAGGCCACTTCATGGGCCTTGAAGAGGGCAATGGTGCTGGTGTCATCTGGGTCCAAGATGTTCCCATTGTCATCCCGTACTACCAGGTCTAGTCCAAGCATTCTGTAGAGAAAGGAAGTGGTAAGTAGCTCTCCATGGCCAGATTCTTGGTAGTGCACTCATCAGAGAACTCAGAGGACACAGGAGAGAGGGCAGGGGCTGGCAGCCCCCGGGAAGGAGAGCTCAGTGAGTTTTCTCCTTTCAACTTTTGCTTCCTTCCCATATAACAACATTCCAAAGCTCATGATACAATGCTAGCCAAATCTCTGAGCACATGCAAGTAATCTGGTCCCAAAATAACATAAAGTTGGCACTGATTCTGACCAAAGTCATGTTTGCAGTGACTCCTTGTTCTGGTCTCCTCTGATGTGACATGGTGACTATGACAGACCTTAAATCATCATTCGAGGACCTGCCTTGATCTCCTTACTCAACACTGTCAGATCAGGGAAGTAACACCTGGCATTAACCCTCTCATAACCCATCTTAACACTGGCTCTGCTATCTTTCAGATTACAGTCTGAACTGTGGCTTTAACACTTGCTCTCCTTAGGACCTCTTCGCTTTGTAAGGTCTGGGTTTCTTCATTTGTAAATGTTTCCTACCTCTCAAGGTTGTCGTAAGAATTAATTGAGATCATGTGTACAAAGTGTCCAATGAAACCTCACATACAGTAAGCACTCAATAAATTTTAGTGCCTACTGCAGCAAATGATTCAAGAAAAACTGACAGTAAAGGGTGGTGGCTTTGAGAGCCACGTGGCAAGAACAGGGGCATGTGTTAGGCACAAACGCACCCCTCTCCAAAGGCTTAGAAAGAACTGTGCTGAGTCTCAAGTGCCAGACTGGTGGAAATGGGATACAGCTCTTTGGGTGCCCAGCATGCATTCCAGGCACCCGCACTTGGGAGCAGAGATATCCAAACTGCTGGAACACCAGGGGATAACAACAAAACATGCCAAAGCTCCAGAGGAAAGCAAAAACACCTGGTTTCCCTTCTCCCTGTTGTAGAGCATCTCCACCAACTGATTTGATCTGGCAGCTTCCTTTCCACGGCAGCCAGCCCACCGGCCACCCAGACTTGGAAGGGCTGGACGGTGGGCTGGCTGCTCTGTGACTGGGTCTTGGAGGCTGACAGAGCAGCTCTGTTTCCTGAGCTACTTCCAAGGACTGGCATGGGAAGGCAGGCATGTGGGTGACATTAACATGCTTGCCAGGGATTGGGGAAACCCCCAGGTTGTTGCTGTGGCAAGATCACAAAAGACAAAGCTAACGGATAAGGAAATGTGGTGCTTTGTCACACCTGAGCTGGCTTTCTAAAAAGTCCTCTGACAGTGTGAGAGGCACTGCCACGGCAGTGGTTATAGCCCTCTGGGAGGCTACTTCATTACTTTTCTTGTTGCTATCATGAAAAACCTGACAGAAGGAACTTAAGGGAAGTAGAAGGGTTTATTCTGGTTCACAGTTCAAGGAAGATACGGTAGAGGAGGGTGAAGAAGCCAGTCACATTGCATCACATTCTAGAAATAACGAATGTTGGTGCTCAGCTCGCTTTCTCCTTTTTATTCAACCCAGGGCTCTACAGAATGCTGTCAGCCACATTTCGAATGGGTGTTCCCTCCTCAGTCCACCGAATCTAGAAACTTCCTCACAGACAGGCCAAGGGGTTTGTCTCCTGGGAAATTCTAGGTTCTCTAAAGTACACACAAATTAATGATCACAGAGGCCAAGTATGGGGAGAGGAGATTCACTTCTCGAGCCCAGAAGGGATTATCGGTTATGGAGCCAGATTTGCTTGGGTTCAAATCAATGCTCTCCCTTTGCCAACGTAACTTGGAAGGCGATTTCTAGGCAGCTACTTCCTAGGATGAAACGTGAAGTGTACAAAGGAAGCATTTTATAAGACTGATTGAATCCTGTATCCTATGTTGACTCCAACTATGTCTGAATATAGTTGTCAGAGTCGTGTATTTAAACACCAGGCTAATGAGCTGAATTTTAGCAGGGTGATGAGGGACGCACAAGAGTCCTCAGGATGGAGAAATGGGAAAAGAAAGAGGACAGAAATCACATGTGCACAAAATGAACAACCTAAATGCCAAACAAACCCCAACTGTGGTCCTCTGGAAGGGGCTGGCTAGAATCACAAGCCCCAGGCCACACCCACTGTCAGTGTGGAGAAATGAAGTGGATTTCTCCTTTGGTGAAAAGCAGTGGTATTGGAAACTCCATATCTGCTTGAGCTAATGAGAAGCTCAACAAAGAGACTGACATGTTACACGTGACTATAGAACGAATTGCTGGGCTGGAAGCATATCTTATTGCTCCAGAGAATCTGATTTTTTTTAAAAAAAATTATGAGTATGAGTGTACTGCCTGCATGTAGGTGAGTGCACCCATGTCGTGCAATGTCTGCAGAGGTCAGAAGAAGGCGTTGGATTCCCTGGAACTGGAGTTACAGATGGTTGTCAGCCACCATGTGTGTGCTGGGAATCGAACCCAGGTCCTCTGCAAGAGCAGCCAGTGCTCTTAACCACTGAGCCATCTCTGCAGCCCAAGCATCTGATTTTTACCTACTGCAAATCATGATCAAAGTTAGCTAAAGACAGGGAAAAGGGGTCTGATAGCAATCAAACAGAATAAAAACAGTCTCTCAGGCATCTGAAAGTGTCATCATCCCCAAACTCCTGGCTACTCTCAGCTTCTCTGCCAGTGGAAAAGCTTGAACCAAAGACCTATCTGGGTTCTTGGGTCAGTCAGTGGGATCACAGGACCAATCTGACACCTGGACCAAGGAGGGGACTATGAAGTTTTTCAATGAAATTAATTATTTTCTAAGATACAAAGACAGCATTATTCATGGTATGGTGGTTTGAATATGAAATGTTCCCCATAGGCTCAGGTATTTGGACACTTCTCCCCAGTCCATGTGGTGCTGTTTGTAAGGGTTTAGGAGGTGCAGACTTTCTGGAGGAAGGATGTCACTGGGGGTGATCTCTGGGAGTTCATATCCTTGTCCCAGTTCCTGTTTGTTCTCTGCTTTGTGTCTGCCATTGAACATGTGAGCTCTCAACTTCCTGTTCCAGCCACCATGCTTCCCCCCCACGCCTCCCTGCCATGACAGGCTCTTATCCCTCTAGAACCAGAAGCCCAAATAAACTCTTCCTTCTTTAAGTTGCCTCAGTTGTGGCATTTTATCAGAGCAACAGAAAAGTAACTACTACATTTGGCAACTCTAAAATCCAAAGTTTGTTGTGAGGCTAGGGGGAAGTAGGGACATTGGACACTATGATTTGAATGTGAGGTATCCCCCACAGGCTGTGTGTTTGAATACTTGGCCAGATGGTGGCGCTGTTCCGGGAGGTTGTGTAACCTTTGGAATGTAATGTGATACTTAGCTGATGAACACAGACTACTAGAAATGGGATTCTGACTCTAGTCGAGAACTTTCTGCTTCCTGGTGTGGCCATGGGAGAAGATCCACCACAGGATCCTGCTGCCACGGACAGGTGTGGTACTTTCTACACCATGATGGGTTTCACTCTGAAACTGTGAGTTGAAATAAGTCTTTCCCCCTTCAGTTGCTTTTATGAAGTTTTCTGTCATATACAGTGACAAAAAAAAAAAAAAAGATAACTAATACAGGGAGACAGGGAAGGGATGGGTAATGGATATAGTTGTGTGGTTGGAATGGGGGAATCATTTCTAATTTTCAATTGCATAGTAGGGTAACTAGAGCTGGCAAAATTTAGTTATATATTTCAAAATACCTAGTAGAGAGGCTTTCTTAAAAACATTTATGTTTATTTTTAATTATATGTATGTGTATATGTCCACAAGGTACCTGCATATGAGCACAGGTACCTATGAGAGCCCAAGGCTTTGGATCCCCAGGAGTGGCCATCTGGCCTGGGTGCTGGGAATTGAACTCAGGTCAAACTCAAGATATGCCATTTGCCCTGATGAATCATTATTCTGTACACGTACTTTATACATGTGCCCCTTAAATGCATATAACTGACAACTATCAATTTTTTAAGATGTGGGTACCTTCATTTATTTATTTATTTATTTATTTATTTTTATTTATTTATTTTTATCTTACGTGCTTGGAAGCAAATTCAAGGTTTCCTATATGCTAGGCGATTTTTTCTGTACACGTACTTTATACATGTGCCCCTTAAATGCATATAACTGACAACTATCAATTTTTTAAGATGTGGGTACCTTCATTTATTTATTTATTTATTTATTTTTATTTATTTATTTTTATCTTACTGACTTGCTGTTCTGTTTTATTTTTGAGACAGGGTCTCCTGCAGTGAGGGTTAGCCTTGAACTTCTATGTAGTCATGTATCCTTGACTGGAACGGATCTTCCTGCCTCCCTCTTCAGAGTGCTATGATCGCAGGTGTGCACCACCACACCCAGTTTATACAGTGCTGGGGATCAAACCTAGGGCTTTGAACATGCTAGGCAAGCACTCTACTAAGTCAGGAGCCTCTCCAACCCTCAATTTAAATTTTTTTAAAGAATTTTTTTGGAAGTTTATTATGAACAGTGTCTAGTATGGAGGTGTCTGGCATTTCATTTTCCACATTTCCATGTAAGACCATTCTGGTTTACCTGTTCCCATGATCAATTTTGGCTGTGACTTTCTTCTTGAGCTCTGCTAGTTCATCCTTGGGGAGTGTCCCGGACAGGATCTGGGAGCGCCACTCAATCAGGCAGTACGTCATCCGCTGCAGCTGGCGGAACAGTGGGACCTTGTTGTTCTAAGATGGGAAAAGGAGTTGGGAGGAAGGACAGAAAGAAAAACAAAGATGTGATGGAGAGAGGTTTTTTTTTTTGGTGGGGGGTGGGATACAGGGTCTCCCTGTAGCCCCAGCTGGCCAGAAACTCACTATGTAGACCAGGCTGGCCTGGAACTCAGAGATCTGCCTGCGTCTGCCTCCTGAGTGCTGAGATCAAAGGCACACACCATCATGACCTATAAGAACATCTTTTGATGCAATGCCTCCCAAGTGTTATTTACTAATTAGACTGCACAGCAAGCTGGGCAGTTTGACGGATATTTTTATGTTGAGAGGGATGTTTTTCCAGAGCTACTCCTGCTTTGTCCCAAAATGCAACTCTAAAAATAGAGAAGTGGTTGTAGAATGGACGGTTGGTCCTAAATCATAAACCTATGAAATCACGAACACACATTGACATTCTGACCATGTTCTTCCTTTTGCTTAAAGCCCCCCAGGCTTTCCCACCGACACAAGAGGCCTCATTGTAAGTCATGTCTTGCCTGGGCTAAGTTCCCACTCAAGTTTCGTACCAATCTGCCCCTCAGAACCTGGCTTCTGCTATACAAGGTGATGGTCATTTCTCCCAGATGTTTCAGACACTTCTCGTTTTCCTCCACCCACAGCCAGCTGGGGCTACAGGGGGACCCTGCCCCAAAAAGACCAAAAAAAAAAAAAGCCAAAACACTTGATGTCTGAGCCTCAGTTCTATCTAAATGTTGATAGGCTCATTCTATACTTTAAATTTTACTATTATTTAGTTACTTATTTTTATGCGTGAGTGTCTTGCCTGCATGCACATAAGTGCAGCCATTTGTGGAATTTGTAAAGAGAAAAGTTTGACGGATATTTTTATGTTGAGAGGGATGTTTTCCAGAGCTACTGCTTTGTCCCAAAATGCAACTCTAAAAATAGAGAAGTGGTTGTAGAATGGATGGTTGGTCCTAAATCATAAACCTATGAAATCACGAACACACACTGACATTCTGACCATGTTCTTCCTTTTGCTTTCAGGATCCACTGAAACTGGAGTTGCAGAAGGTTGTTAGCCACCATGTGGATGCTGTAACCTGAACCCTGGTTCTCTGCAAGAGTAGCCAGGGCTCTTAACTGCTAAGCCAGCTCTCCAGCCCCACACTGTATTTTTGAAAAATTCTTCAATCACAATGTACCGAAAATAAAGTTCCTGCCCTTGAGAATCCAACATTCTGGTGGGGGGCTGGGGGGGTGGGTAAGCTAGCAATAAATAGGCAAATATATACGAATATTTATTATGTACTATGATGTTTTTTTTTTCCTTTTGGGCAGTACTGGGAATGGACCTCGGGCCTCTCCTATGCTAGGGACATGCTCTGCCACTGAAATACATGCAGTCCCAGAGCTTATGTTATCATATCTATACATATGAGCTAATTTCAAGTTATGAAAAGTACAAGAAAGAAAACAGAAAAATATTAAAGTAAAAAGAAATAAAAATAAGGTCAGATTTGGTGGCATAGCCTTTAATCCCAGAACTTGGGAGGGAGAAACAGGTGGATCTCTATGAGATGGAGGCCAGCCTGGTCTATACAAGTTCCAGGCCAGCTGGGGCTACAGCGAGACCCTGCCTCAAAAGGACAAACAAAACAAAACAAAACAAAACCAAATGACCATTTGTATGTCAATCATTTGAAGAACATAATAGCTGGTGTCTAAGCTATGACAACTTTCATTCTGCCTCACAGAGAAGATACACTATATAAATAATGCAGACATACAAACGCATGCACACAGACACACACTCTCACATACATGCATGTGCACACACACATGCACACACACACACACACACACACACACACACATACATGGAGGAGGGGGCTGCCACCATGTCTCCTACTGGTGTTCTATAATAATCTGGGGAATGCTGATTCTAGGCAAATAGAAACTAGAACAGAACTGAAAACATCCAAGTATTTCTGAACAAAGCAGATGTAGAGGGAAGTGCCCTCAGCCTGGAGGTGAGTGGTAGGGCACGGACAAGCTTAGTAGCTTCTGATAAAACCTTAATAGAAGCTTAAAGCCCATGGGAACACAGGGAGAGGCAAGGAGCCCCATTTATCTGTGATTGCAGTGGGCCTTTTTTTTTTTTTTTTACAATGGCAGTGCCAGTTTAAAACAGGTATTTATATTTTTGTGTATTTAGCATTTTCTGGATTGTTGACTCCTCATAAGCCAGCCCTTAGGACAGCACCCAATGAGACCTGTGAAGATCGCCTCTTCTGTTACCAGAAGGTAAAACATTTGCCTATTTTATTCCCTCTTCAGAAACTGTTTCCATTCCATTGTCTTAAACTAGAAAGGAGAGTGAGAAATTACCCTACAAGATTTTGCCTTTCAGAATTGCTAAACAGAAAAGGTATAATTTTTTTTTCTGTAATGCAACTCATTTGTCTACTCCTATAGTTTTTAGTGTCTTCTAGTGGTAATTAAGATATTAGCTTCCATACTCAGGGAAAGAAAGGGTTCATGGGTCCGGGGAATCCTGTGTGAGAAGGCGCTTCGTCTGAGGCACATGTTCACAAGTTCTTGATCTCAATTATATCGGACATTATCTGTGGCAATTTAATTATGGCCTGTCCATATCAGCCTTGTTTGCCAAGTCCTTCCCCCAAGGAAGGATAAATGGCCATTCTTCTCCCATTCCTGTGTCAAATTCATTCTGAATACACAAGCTGGAACAGACCAAGGGAGGCAATATCCCCATTTACTTTAAGGAAATGGACTTTGTTGCCACATTCCCAACTGCTCGGAGCAAAGCAGTCTGTGTCCCAGCTGGCCCTGCACCTCATGCGTCTGTGGGGAACTGGGTGAGGAGAATCCAGCACTCCCCTGTACACAGAGCACCACACTCTTCTGTGGTTTTGAGGTGCTTTGTCCTCTAAATCTCCCCATGCTTGAGGCTTGGTCTCCAGTGTGGTGATGCTGGGGACTAGTGGAACCTTCAGGAGGGACCCAACAGAGGTAATTAGATCACTGGGGGTGCTGCCCCTGTGGGAGGGGTTAAGGTTGGCCTCTTGGAGTAAGTTTGGTTTTTTTTTAATATTTTATTATTTTTATTTTATGTGTATGAGTGTATTGCCTGCATGTGTGTAAGTACACCCATGCCATGCAATGCCTGCAGAGGTCAGAAGAGAGCATCGGATTCCCTGGAACTGAAGTTATAGATAGTTGTTAGCCACCATGTGAGTGCTGGGAACTGAGTCCCAGGTCCTCTGCAAGAGCAGCCAGTGCTCTTAACCACTGAGCCAACTCTCCATTCCAAGTCTGGTATTTTTTTTAATCATTAATTCTTTGAAAATTTCTTACATGTATACAACGTATCTTGATCATCTCCTCCCCCAATCTCCCCTCCAAGTTCCCCTAGACACCACCCCAACATAACCCTTCCCAACTTCATGTCTCCTAGCTCCTCTCTTTTAACCCACTGAGTCTAATTAGTGTGCCTGCTGGGACATTGGCTGATCTTGCTGGCTTGGTCTTATACAGGTGACCATGGCAGTGAGTTCATGAACACAGTGTCCATGTCGTGTCCAGAAGACAGCGTCTCACATCTCACAGTACTCCTCTCCATCTTCCGGCTCATACATTCTTTCCTTCCCCTTTAATGTGATGACATTACCTGAGTATGTTGATACAGGTGCCTTATTTGGGGCTGAGTACTTAACAGTCATTTATTTTCAGCTCTTTGAACTGTTAAGAGTTTGCATTAACTGTGGCCCACTATAGAAGTTTCTCTGGCCAAAGCTGAGCATAGTAAGCCAGTTCTTAACAGAGTTGTTGTAAAAGACCTTGGCTCTGAATCTCTCTGGCTCTCCCCCATTCCCTCGCCCAGCCAGGTCTCTGCCTAGCAGGCACTCCAGTCACGAAGCTTCTGCTGTGATGTAACACAGCAACAGAATGAAGAGATACAGGTGCCTGATCTTGACCATTCAGTTTCTAAGACTGGGAGCAAAACAAACCCATTTTCTTTACAAGGTACCTGGGCTCAGGTGTTTTGTGACAGCAACAGAAAATGGACTAACACACCCTCCTTCTGGCCTCTATTTTCTATACCCCACTCAGCCCAGGCCTGCCTTTTGCAGAGCCCCTTCCCTACTCCTTGCACTCTTCACTTGGTTAACCTTTTCTGCACTGTCAGCCATTGTCACAACATTGGGTATTTTCTTTGACCCTCTCTGCAAAAGCCAGCACAATCCTGGGATGCAGTAGGAATTTGAACTTAGGAACAAATCTGATGGCTTAGACTTAAAAGAATAGTTTGGTTTCAATTTGAGTAAAGAGCAGTTACCCCAAATAAAATTAACCAGATATTTTTTCTACCAGACATCCCTGTGCCTCATTTGGTGACTTTCTAATCCAGATGTCTATCTTTTTAATTTCTGTAGAGAAAAACAAAGTCACAAGAAAAGAAACTTTGGGGCTGGAGAGATGGCTCAGCAATTAAGAGCACTGACTCCTCTTACAAAGGACCCGGGTTTCATTCCCAGCACCCACATGGCGGCTACAAACCGTCCTTAACTCGAGTTCCAGGGGAATCCAAGGCCCTCTTCTGACCTCCGCGGCACTGCACGACGTGGGTGCACTCACATACATGCAGGCAATATACTCATAAAATAAAAATAATAAATAAAAAATTAAAAAAGAAAAGAAATTTTGCTTTCCATAGTGGCAAGAATACAGAATCATCCGTGGAGCATTATAGAAATTTGGGGACCAGTCAGACCACAGTGCTGATTGATCGGGTGTCAGAGAAAATGGACACAAACTCTGCTCACCACCCTTCCCCCTCCATGTGAGGTTTATAATTTAGAAGGAGAACGCTTGAGGGAGCATGTGGAGACTTGGCATCCATCTGTAATTCCATCATTAGCTTGCTATGTGACTCTCGCCAAAGATCCTTGCCTAGGGACAAGCATCTTCCCGTCTATGGCAGAGATGTG